CCTGTAGCTGTTCTCTCCCCCTCCCCCCCCCCCCCCTTTTTTTTTAAATTTTAATTGTTAACTTCAAGGCCAATATAATTTAATGTGGTGTATCCATAATTATTTGCACATATGTCATACAAGCATGTTTAGGAAATCTGGTCATTTGTGTTATGCTGAAATAACATTTAATGTCAACATATAGGGCACACATACACTTCTACACAGAATCAAAAACATAAATGTGTTTGTATGAATAGACACAGTCACTGTACCTAGCAACACTAGAACATCAGTGTAACAGAACCTACAGATATCAACTGTAACACAAGCCAAAGACCACAGCCAAACAAAAGATACATAATACTGGTTAGATAAATGCTGCAACATTATGTACACCAAACTTCCAGCTCCGATCTTCGCAAAGACAAATCTACAAGTTCTGTACAAGCATTGTTTAGAAACCATTAGAGCCAGTAATTAAACAAAAGTGACGGGAGTCTTTTGCAAGGGGGACACAGCAGAAGGTTAACAGCCATCTCCCCATGCTGTTGTAGTAAGTACAATAACAAACAAACAAAAACAATCGACAAACTAAAAATTTAAAAAAGTTCTGACAACCACAATATTTGCCATTTTGAGGTTCAAACCTATACCTCCAGATCTGAGACAGCGGCACATTATTTACTCGGCCACCTAATTTATTTACAAAATAATACACTTTTAGTTGTACACAAGCTCTGGTCTTTCTTCCCCAGACTCCCCACCCAACAAAATAACAGGTGTGAACTTTGCAATCTGTTCATGCTCAAAACTCAACAGAAACCTTACTGACATTGCCTTCAGCCTGAGGATTTAGGCTCGCATGGCATGTGCAATCAAAATGGACTGCATAGGCTAGAATACCCCCCCCCCCCCCGCAGAAAAATAAACTTTCCATAACATTATTGAGGGTTCTAACCCCGGTCACCCGCATGACACCAAGAGTTCTAGTCACTCGGCCAGCTGCTCAACATCAACAAAAATCTGACATAACACGCACAGTAACTACATCTTTACCAGGCAACCCAACATTAAATTTAAACTAACTGCACAACAGACTTCCTCCACACCCTTCCCCTCCACCAAAACCACCCCCTCCCCTTTTTTTTTATAGGGTTAACCTTGAGGGTAAGGATTCAGGGCTGCATGGATAATGCCATCAACACCAGCCGCACAGATTAAGTTGTACAATTTTTTTTTTCTGACAGCAAAAACTTCAATAACCATACTGGGGATTCAAACCTAAGTCTTCTGCATGAGAGCCTAGTATTCCAGCCACCTCAGCGATTCCTAAACAAAAACAAATTCAACATAACTGAGTCTTCACCAGGCAACTCAATATTAAGTTTAAATGTCTGCAAAACTGACCTTCTCTATCCCACCCCCCCCCCCCCCTTTCCCCACTTTAAAAAAAATGTGTACATTAAAAAAAAGAAATAAGAATCAAAGCAAAGTTTTCCCATTATAATTAAAAACTCCCACAATTCACTAAAATGGCAGCTATCAATGTGTGGAGAGACAAAAAAGCAATATTTCAACTCTGCAAAATTCACACAAGTCTTGCTGATCACTTTTCAAACACATGGACTGAAGCCAATCCACCACTCAGGAATTGTCAATATGTACTTCAAGCATAGCCTCCAATGAAATTATAGTTGTATATACTCATGATTTTTATCATTTATGCAATATGTACGTATAAATAAACAGGAAATGCTACTAGAAAATATGAATAGAGCAGATATGTAAATTTTTCTTTAAATAAGTTGCATTTATTCATCAATTTTCTACTAAGGTTAAATCAAAGTTTATATACCTTAGCCAATTTTTAATAAGTTAAATTTACTCTGCCGTTGTTACTACGTTTAACATTGAAGATTGTGCATCCTGGTTAGGAGTAGATGTGTGCGAAAGAATGCAACGAGTGCAATGAACATGGCCTAAATAATTTGGATTTTCATAATTTGTTTGTTTACTTAAGTAATTGATTTGAAAGAATAAAACTAAATACTCCTTATTTTACTTTTTTTTCTCTACTAATCAATTCACAATCGAATATGTGTTGTTTAATTTGTTAAAAAAAGCAGCTCATTATGTGCTGAACAATTACCATTTGTTCTGTGGCTATTTTATTCATATAGATAAACAAAAGTGGTTACTAAACAACCTTGTTGTACCCCAGACAAAGGGAGGAACCAGTATGTCATTCTTACAGTTGTTCCTACAGTACATTTGGTTATGTGGTACACAGCTCTGATGTTGTCCAGCTACTGTCCATTTACACCATACTCATTTAGCAGTGACCACAGCTTGTCTGGGCTTACTCTACCAAATACTTTTTTTTAAATTTATTTTTAAAATTTCAATAAATGAAAGCCAATTAGTTTGTTGATTTACTCTGTGGTTGTCTCAATGTAAAAATAGCATCTGCATGTGCTGAATAATGGCCATAGAATGAAATTTTTTAGTTTCTTTAGTTATACATAGTAACTTTACACTGAACAATGACCTTACGATCACATGTTTTTGATTGATTTGTGTCTACACAGCCATTCATGCTATGCTGAACAATGACATAACAACCAAATGTTTTTGTCTGATTTGTTCTAAACATTAATTTATACTTAATAATGACATTACAAGCAAATGAATTTTTCTTTGATTTGTTCTAGACAGCAACTCCTTCTGTGTGCTCAACAAGAACTACACAAGCAAATATTTTTGTTTTATTTGTTCTACAAATCAACTCACCACAAGTTAAATAATTACAACAAAAAAATTCATTGAAAAAAAAGCAAGCCATAATCCATTGAATAACGACCATACAACCAAATAAACTTGTGTGATTTGATCTACAACATCTGCATTGTCACCATATGTTGTCTATACAATCCAATATTTTTGTTGGATCTAGACTTCTAGCTACTAAATTCACCATAAGATTTTGACCACAAAACTGAAACTCTTGTTTCCTTGGGTCAATCCATCTTATCCTTGGGTCAATCCATCTTCTTCTTGGGGTGTGCCCTCTTGCTTTCATACCAGATATTTTAGATGTTGTATCTGTGTTGGTGGTAGTTGTGGCTGCATTCAAACGAGAAGCTTATGCTTCTCAATGAATCTGATGCAAGATGTTGTTCCCATAGTTTGTCCGATAATATCATTTGTACTTTAATAACTGAGTAAAAAGTTGAAACAATAAACAATACACAAATAGAAACAACCGCTCAAAGCTGATCAAGAAACGCAGGGATTTTTGAAGTATACTGACTTTCTCAGTCAAACGTGATTGATATTCTAGTATTAAGTCAAACGAATGTCTAACCTAACAAGGACATAAAAAGAGACTAACATGTGGCTTCCTTGGTGAATTAACCATGCAGGAAGTGCTAAACCTAAGATGATTTCTTGGATATAGAGTAAACAACAAATGGTGATCTTCTAGGTATGGACGGTCCTGTACCAAGAGGACATTGAACGTGTTTAACAATTTTATGATCCTCGAGCAATGGAGTTCGATATCAGCAGTGGACGATTTATTAACAAAACTACATTGATTGTTTTGCGACAGCGGTTCAAAAGTCACACTGTAGAAGTGACTGGGGCCTTGCCAAGCAATATTCCCAAAAGCAGCACTGGGTACACTAGCCAACCTTCATTGTGGAGACAGCACACACACACAGTCCCATAGATATAAAGATATCAATATATGGTGATTTCGTCTACATAAAATTGCACGAGTTAATCAGGTAGGGAGTAAACAAGCAATGCATGGGGACTGAATGAATGAACTGACATCAATGCACTGGGGGCATTTCCATACATGCTCCGTCCCCTTCTTCAGTAGCCAACAAATAGCTGGCATGCTAACAGTACCGGTTGCAACCTGATCATAGTGTGGTGATTTCCTGCTTAGTATGAAGTTATTAATAAATGGTGATTTCCTTGACAGAAAAAGATTATTTTGTGATTTTCTTGGTATAAAACAATCAAGTTATGAATGTTGAGCGATTCAGGTATTGTGCTTTTCTTGAAATATCATTTAAGTGAGTCCGTCATTTGAGAGCCAGTAATCTATGCATGTAGTTTTCGTGATATAACGGGCTAACTTGGTGATTTTCTTTGCCTAAAGTGATCCATGTATGAATGTTAAGGGATCCATGTGTTGTGCTTTCACTGCCATGTCATTTCAAGTGAGTCATGTCAGAATAATTAATCAATGTATGGTACTTTCCTCGGAAGGTCGTGGATTGGGTTCCTGACAGAGCGGGACTGTTTTTCAAAAATGACCTTGGCTCCCAAGTCGACCCAGCCTTGAGTGGGTACTAGGTAGTCCTGGGAAGAAAAGGCGGCCTGTGTGATGCTAACCTCATCACTCAAGAAGTGATGTTTGGTCCATAAAACATAACCGAGCCCTATGTACCCAATATGCCTGAAAGGCAAGTAAAAGGGTCCTTTACTTTTTATGGTACTTTCCTTGATATAAAGTGATTACTTGGTGATTTTTCTTGGTATAAATTAATCAACGTATCAGAGTTAAGCGATCCATATACTGTGATTTCCTTGCCATATCATTTCAAATGAGTTAGTAAGTAATCAATGTATGGTAATATCTTCGAGGCAAAGAAGGTCAAACAAATTAATCATACAGGGAAAAGTAACCAGCAGATGGTTACAAATGGTGACTCCCTTGATACAGACAAGGTCAAGCAAAATAATTATACAAAAAAAAGTAATCAATATATGGTGATTTTTTTCATTAGAGGTAAGTCAAGTTAATATAATCATACAGGCAAAAAGAAAGCAACACATGATGACTTCATTGCATAGACAAGGTCAAAAAAAATTAACCACAAAAGAAGTAAATAATTAACATATGGTGACATCCTCTGTAAACAAAGAGCTAACAGCAGGTTTCAGCGCGAACAACAATGATTTTTGTCAAAAGTGTTGAAACTAGTGGAGATGCTACAGACATGTCACTGATGTTTGGGTGGCTTGGTAGTTGACTCAATGCTTTCTACAAGCCTTCCCAGGGTTTTCTTGATCCTCAGACAAGTCAATCTGGCAGCAGGGCTGGGGTTCCAGCACTCAGACATCACACGGCACATCACTTTCAGGTACTGAAAATACATACAATAAGTCTTTCACACTTTCAGGTACTGAAAATACATACAATTAGTATTTCACACTTTGGGTACTGAAAAGTAAATCATTTACATTTTCAGGTACTGAGAGAATGAATCATGTATACTTTTGGATACTGAGCAAGTTATTTACTACTTCAGGACTGAGCAAAATGAGTTTACTTATACTTTGAGGTACTAAGACAATATGTCACCTATACTTGGTACAAATAGAGTATCATTAATTCAACAATGACAAGACCCACTAACACTGGGCTACCGGGTACTCCATAATGATACTGTGATGCCCCAATATAACTGCGCTATGGCTGTACAGTTAAATGAGGATTCTTGGATTTGTACCAGTTTGATTCTCATCCCTGAAGTGTTAACACTTACATACTGCAATCCTGGAAGGAAAACACTAAAAACAAAAGAAAACCTGAAAAAAACCTAACTAATCACGCCATGTCCTACATGGAGTGGTAAGATGCAGGCAGCACAAAGTTTTTGTGTGTGGTTAAAACAATGACTGATAAACATAAAGTACAACCAGTCATTTGTGTTACGATGATGGGTATGCATTAACGAAATAATAATCTCCTCTTCGCGTTCACCGGCTGAAAATGCGGGCGGAAAGCTCTGGGTGTTTGTCAACCTTTGGACTTATTCTTATTACATAACCTGAACGCTGCTACACATCCATTTATTTGTATGCGGACTGTTGTTTCCTTGCCTCTCAGGCAGATGCACACCGACTTCGAACGAAGCACTCAATTAGTCAACTTTTACGACATGCTTGTAGGGGAGGCAGTGGATCTATTCTTGTTTTCCCACAAACGGGCCCAGGAACCCAGAGGGAAGAAAACATTATCACACACATCAAATGTATTGCTACACACAAAACCAATCCCCAGATGAATTACTAGGAGTTGTTGTTATCGATCCAGCGGCGCATGAACTTTTGCCCTTTGGCCCAATGCCATGTTGTGGAATTTGCACGTTTTCACAAGCTGTTCTTTTCCTCCATACAAGGTGTTCCCCTTGTCTGGTCTCGGAGGGAATAGCATTCTTCTAGTCTCGCTGAGTTTTGGGCACACAAAGAGATGGTGTTCAACAGTTTCGTATGGGTAGTTACATAGCTGGCACTCTGGGGAGTGTTGTGGCTGTATTCTGTTTAGATGTCCACTGAGTGGAGTATGTTGCGTTCCAAGTCTGAAGATGGTGGCCTGGTCCCTTCTTGTTAGATGGTTAATGCTGTCATTAGGATCAGGGCCAGCCATGTGTCTATAAACCTCTCTTCCAGTGTCTCCCATGGCCCATCTGTTCAACCAAGTCTCTTTGTTTATAGCTCTTATAAGTGTTTTTGCTGTCTGTAGGGTTGTCGCTGAATTACTAGGAGAGAAGAGAGACAGAACCAGACTTAGATTATTTTCTTCTTCTTCCTACATTCAACGGAAGTAAACCCTCTGTGGAAAGTCCTGGTTGTTTCTCCACACTAGGTTTTGCTCTTGTTCTAGGGCTTAAGTGTTGTGTGCACACCTCTTTTATAGTTCTGGCTTTTGTGTGTGCAGGCTGTTGATTCCTTACCTCTTAGGCAGATGCAGTCTGACTTCGAAGGGAATGCTGATCCATTCTTATCTATGTTGGCCAGGCCCCTGGCTGGACACCTGCCTCTAGAATGACAGCGGAGAGGTGTAGGCAAGTCTTGACCAGTATGAGCCCTGGTGCTGGTGAGTCACTACTTGTGTTTCAGCACCTCTACATCCCAGTAAGATTATAAAGAACGACACTTCTAAGACATGAATCAGAAACAAACCTCATCATGGTACCAGACATCTGGGATCGTTGGCCGTATTCTCTCTATACAAACAATCTTCCTCATGTCCTCAATGCTGGGATCTTGTGGGACATAATCATAATATGGTAGCTCTGCATCATGGACTATTCCTGTAGAGAAGAGATTCACAGGAAATTAAACTTTTTAGTTGTAACTGTATAGGTTAGTTAGTTGCGTATCCTTTAAGGTTAGTTAGTTGCGTATCCTTTACAGGATGTTGCAGATCCAACCCAAACAGCACATGGCTGTTATGTGGTTTTTCTAGGCAAATTTACGTCCAGTAGTTTGCCATTGCTTTCTGGACAGTGGGCTTTCTTGATACCCCTGTCAAAACGTATGCAAGGCGCCCGGCCCGCAGCTGGGATCGAAACCGGCATCCTGGCATTACGAAGCGTTCGCATCGACTTAGCCACAGAGCCGACTGTAACTGTATACAGATGTGAAATAGGCGAAATTAAACATGTTAGTAGTATTTGAATAATGCTCTTGACAGAGCTCATCAACAAACGTTACACACCCCCCCCCCCTCTTTTCGATGAGGTACAAGGTGGAAGAGAAGAAGAAGTATTTGAAGAGAGAGAAAAATAGATGAAATTAAACATTTTAGTAGACAGAAAACAGATGAAATTAACAAAATGCCATGGGCCGTGTTTGTGGAGGGGGTTAATCAGAAAGAGAATGAGAATGAAGGAAGACATGAATACAGAAAGGATGAGAGCTGAGCATCAAGAAGAAACATGCTAAATACAAGTGATGGCAATAACAGACCTGAAATCCCTTGCTATAACTGTGGAAGACTTTTCTTAACGCAGGTGGGTCAGGCTACTCCCATGCCTTCTCATAGCACAATACAACACTATAGTCTGGAAAGATGGAAAGGTGCTAACAAAACAACATCTCCTGAAGCACCTACCTCCAATGACACACCTCCTGGCAATCTCCCACAGGACCAGACCAAAAGAATACATGTCTGCTTGCTTGTAGGAGTCAAAGTGGTTCTTGTTCATGGTCTCGTCCAGCACCTCTGGGGACATGTACCGCCTGGTGCCGCAGCGAGTGTTGGATGCCACATCTACTTCATTGGTCTCACTGAAAGCAGTCAAAAGCCCAGCAGTTATAATGCAGTGAATGGTAAATGGTAGACACACTTGTCTTCTGTGCGTTGCATAGATATACATGACAACAGAATGAGCAAACCACAATGATAAAAACTGCACTTAGGTGAGTTGAGTTGAGTTCTTTTTCTTAGCGTTCAGCAGCTGTAAACTCCTGCAGAAAGTTCTGGTTGCTCACTAATGTCTGGATTTTGGTCTTGTTCCTAGACCTTGAGTTTTGAGTTTTACCAATCTGGCCTGGCATAATTTGTATGCAGACTGTTGGTTTCTCATCTCTAAGGCAAAAGCCCTCTAACTTTAAAGGAAACACCCACTTCTGGATTTTGGTCTTGTTCCCCAAACTTGTTCTGTGTGCACTAAGTTTTACAAATCTGGCCTGGCTTAATGTGTATACATACTGTTGGTTTCTCACCTCTAAGACAAATGCATGTGCATGTGTGGTGGGTGGGTGTGTGTGTGTGGATCTATTCTTTTTTTCCCCCCTAAAATAAGGCCCAAAAACCCACACAGGAAGTTAAAAACTGACATTACAGCACTCTGCATATTCCCATCAGCAGCCAACAAAGAGTTCTTCTTCACGCTCACCTCTTGTTTTCCTCATAATGGGGCCCTAAAACCCACGAAGGGACACTCAGTAATCAATTCACACTGCCCCAGGGGATAAAAAAACTCATTCTTTAGTAATACTGCTAAAGTGGATAACCAAACTCAATTCCTTCAGTAATTAACTCACACTGCCTTATTGGATAATAAAACTCATTCTTTAGTAATACTGCTAAAGTGGATAACCAAACTCAAATCCTTCAGTAATTAACTCACACTGCCTTATTGGATAATAAAACTCATTCTTTAGTAATACTGCTAAAGTGGATAACCAAACTCAAATCCTTCAGTAATTAACTCACACTGCCTTATTGGATAATAAAACTTATTCTTTAGTAATACTGCTAAAGTGGAAATCTCGTTTGAACTAGTTATCAGTACTGCTAAAGTGGATAACAAAACGCAATTCCCCCAGTAATTAACTGACACTGCCCCATTGGTCACCCCGCAAAGCCATAAGTAATCAACACATGCCATACTGCACCCCCCCCCCACCCCCATACCCCCCCTCCCCCCATAACAAAGCTCAAACCCCTAGTAATTACCTCATTCTGCCCTCTGGATAATAAAACTTAGACCCCTCAGTAATTATCTCAAACTGTCTTATCAGTGACACAATTCATCAGAAATAAATTTTTTTTAAACCAGCCATAAATCCATATCAATATACACGTAACCAAAGAGTGTCGCTGATAATAAAATTAAAACCATACTGAATTAATCCTTCAGGATCTTAGAAGCATGGCGTCCGCCTCAAGTGTTGTAGGTCCCGGATTCAGACTCGATTTTTTTTTTTACTTCTAGTAATTTCCCCTGGTTTCTGGGTAACAAGATTAGATACCCATGAGTATTGTTGTGCACCTAGAAAATCCCTTGACAGTTGTAAATCGAAAAGAGTAGCCTAAAGGCGCTGCCCAGGCAAAACTTGGAGTTAAAAATCTACCCAAAGTATTTCAGGATGCTCACCGGTTCTACAAAGTTCGTGCACGGTGCTAAGATTCCGCAGACTCAGGCTTGAGTTAGAAGCAGAACGGAGCACTTATGGGTTACTACCCTTGTGTCATGATGATGATCCGTTGTTTAAACTTAAACCTCAAGAGTAATTCACTTTCAAATGTATAATCATTAGGATGAGCATGTTCTCACCTCACATATCTGACAGCCAATCCCAAGTCTGCTATGCAGCAAGTTCCATTTTTGCGTACTAATATATTTTTGCTTTTGATGTCCCTGTGAGCAATCGCTGGTTTTCCTGTGGACAAAAAGATTATCAGTGGCTGGCTATCTCATCCTGGCTATCATCATTATGAACAAGTCTACATCACAATAAGGCAGGGCTATTCAACTAAGTTTACTGAGGGGTACACAGTTTGACAGTGGGGATCATCACGGTGCAGTAGCCTGAGCCCTAGTTAGTTGCGTATCCTTTACAGGACGTTGCAGAATCAACCTCAACAGCCCCTGGCTGTGTGGTTTTTCTAGGCAAATTTACGTCCAGTAGTTTGCCACTGCTTTCTGGACGGTCGGCTGTCTTGATACCACTGTCGAAAACAACGCAAAGCGCATGGCCTGCAGCTGGGATCGAACCTGGCATTATGAAGCCTCGAATCGACTTAGCCACAGAACCAACATGAGCCCTAGTACGGAAAGATAATTATTACAATTCATATGGCAATGATCTGCGGGCTACTTGCTAGGCTTCCATGGGCCAGTTGAATAGCCCTGCTATAACGGCTTTACAAGAGTTGACAGAGGGCCTATATTCCTTCAAATTATGAAAAGCAGAAGAAAAATGGTTAACCTTTTTTTAGTCCCAAATAGTACGATACTTTCTTCTTCTGTTTCTTTGTCATAGTTCATCTGAGTGATGTAATTTGTGCTATGCCTGTTTATAGTATAGCTGCTGCAATTGCGCCTTTAGACAGACACATCTGACTTCAGCAGACATCTGTTCACTGGATTAGCCTTCCCGGCTAGTTTTATGGGAGATGTGATGGCTTTATTTGTTTGTTGGTGTCTTCTTTATGCCTTTATCTGCAGGTACTGCTCATTAAGAACCCATCCAGGATTGCTTGAACGTTGTCGAGTATTTGATATTTTTGTAGAATGTAATGGAATGGAATCATGGGCTGCACCCTTTAGAGATCAACAGAAGCAGCCTTCAGATCTGAAACTTCAATGACCACACAGATAGGCAAAATCCTTCCTCGGCACAACAGATACCTTTAATGTAGGTGCATCCTGAAACCAACAGTATAGGAAAAATATGCAACAGGCCACAAAAACTGCATCCAAGAATTGAAAAGCGCAGTCCCCATAATCTCCAAAGTATGAGGCAAGCAGCTAAACCACCTAACAGGGAGATCCCTAAGGTTAAACAAATGATAACCAACCATATTGTTCACCATCAGCATTTGATGCAGTAAAGCAAGCCAAGTACTGGGACCAAGCCAAGTACTGGGACAGCTAGTTCCTTCCCTCCTCTTCCAGCATAAGACACTTCCAATCAGTGCGAAGAAATATACAAAGAAAAAGCATTCCCACTCTACGCTAGCAATGCCAGACATGGTCATACAACAAACCACTAATTATAAACCATGTAAATGAGAAGTCTGAGAAGGGCTGCAGGAGTGACCAAAAGAGACATAATTAAAAATAAGCCATAAGAAAAAAGTCAGCATAGAACCAATTCTCAACTACATACAAAGACAGCAAATCAAATGGTTTGCCCACTGAGAGAGTACCTTGTGATGCCATACCATACCAGGCATACACCACAAGAGGAGATGTCTATGGTCGAGGCGGCCAGAACAGCAAGAAGCAGAACTTTATATCTCTCTAAACAGCCACGGCCTTAATAAAAGAAGTAAAGAAAAGACTGCACAGAAGTAAAAGTAATAATTAGAGAAAAGTGAGACACTCTTATAACAACCAAAAGAACCTGAAAAAGAAAATAACTCATGTTCAATCAGGAAAACAGCAAATGAAGGCAAAGAAATAAATCCCTTTGCTTGTCAATACTGATGGGGCAGGACAACAGGACTGACCTCGCACAGGGTGATGATATAAGATATCGATATGTTAGAAGTTACCAATAAACACAGGATGTATCTGGTACTGAATGGGTGATTTGATTTGTCACTTACCTCTAGTGCCAAATATCTCTACATGTAAGTGAGACAGGCCACAAGAAGCAGAATGGGCCAGGTAGAGCATCTCGGAGGTATCTAGTGCGTGAAGATGCAGGTAGTCGTACAAGGAACCATTCTCATGGTAATCGGTGATCAGATACAGTTGTGTCCACGACCCTGTGCCCTTTATGTCTGCTGCGATAAATCCTATGTCAAACAAATGTTAAATACAATTATGTATACTCAGACTTATTGTTCTTTCCAGATAATGTGTTATACTGTTTCAGAGAGACATGGGAATATACTGTGTTTCAGAGAGACATGGGAATATACTGTGTTTTAGAAAGACATGGGAATATACTGTGTTTTAGAGAGACATGGGAATATACTGTGTTTTAAAGAGACATAGGAATATACTGTGTTTTAGAGAGACATAGGAATATACTGTGTTTTAGAGAGACATGGGAATATACTGTGTTTTAGAGAGACATGGGAATATACTGTGTTTTAGAGAGACATGGGAATATACTGTGTTTCAGAGAGACATGGGAATATACTGTGTTTTAGAGAGACATGGAAATATACTGTGTTTTAGACAGACATGGGAATATAGTGTTTCAGAGAGACATTAGGAATATACTGTGTTTTAGAGAGACATGAGAATATACTGTGTTTTAGAGACACATGGGAATATACTGTGTTTTAAAGAGACATGGGAATATACTGTGTTTTAGAGAATGGGAATATACCGTGTTTTAAAGAGACATGGGAATATACTGTGTTTTAGAGAATGGGAATATACCGTGTTTTAGAGACACATGGGAATATGGGAATATACTGTGTTTTACACATGGGTGTTTTAGAGACACATGGGAATATACTGTGTTTTAGAGGCACATGGGAATATACTGTGTTTTAGAGAATGGGAATATACTGTGTTTTAGAGAGACATGGGAATATACTGTGTTTTAGAGAGACATGGGAATATACTGTGTTTTAGAGAGACATGGGAATATACTGTGTTTTAGAGAGACATGAGAATATACTGTGTTTTAGAGACACATGGGAATATACTGTGTTTTAGAGAGACATGGAAATATACTGTTTCAGAGAGACCTGGGAATATACTGTGTTTTAGAGACATGGAAATATACTGTGTTTTAGAAAGACATGGGAATATACTGTGTTTCAGAGAGACACAGGAATATACTGTGTTTTAGAGAATGGGAATATACCGTGTTTTAGAGACACATGGGAATATACTGTGTTTTAGAGTGACCTGGGAATATACGGTGTTTTATAGAATGGGAATATACCGTGTTTTAGAGACACATGGGAATATACTGTGTTTTAGAGAGACATGGGAATATACTATGTTTTAGAGAGACATGGGAATATACTGTTTCAGAGAGACCTGGGAATATACTGTGTTTTAGAGACATGGGAATATACTGTGTTTTAGAAAGACATGGGAATATACTGTGTTTCAGAGAGACATGGGAATATACTGTGTTTTAGAGAATGGGAATATACCGTGTTTTAGAGACACATGGGAATATACTGTGTTTTAGAGAGACATGGGAATATACTGTGTTTTAGAGAGACATGGGAATATACTGTGTTTTAGAGAGACCTGGGAATATACTGTGTTTTAGAGAGACCTGGGAATATACTGTGTTTTAGAGAGACCTGGGAATATACTGTGTTTTAGAGAGACATGGTAATATACCGTGTTTTAGAGAGAGAACTGGAAATAACAGCCGATGACAATTAGCAAAACTAACAACAAGTTCATAGGATTTCAGAATCGTTGTTGACATGACATACGTATGACATTTTTCTTCTCAAAATTTGTTCTGCACTGCCTAGTGATGAATTGATGCATGACAAGACAGATGTGGTAACGGCCCTTTGGGAGCGAATGAACCGTGTGAAGGCACAGATGGAACATCATGATTTAAAGAGAACGGTGCTGCAAGGGATGACCAGGGGATCTGGTCGAAGATAAAAACTCAGGGGAAGGACTAGACGGATATACAATTAGACAGCTACTGGTGTCTTATAGGGACTGGAACTCTGTGCTTTCTGCTGAAGATGGGGATAAAGAGCGGCTATGGGATTGTCCCAAGTGCTGGGATTTTAATTCTTAAAAACACTCTCAAATGTTCAGCTCTTAACCTATCTGCCATCGTCTTCTCCTTCGTCTCTAGCCCCTTCTCTATTTTCCCCATCCTTGCAATAAGTTTCAATCCTATCCCATTTCCAGGAATTATAACTAAATATCTGTACCATTCATGTCTCACTTGCACAAATCTGTATATTGTTGTCAAGGTAGACCCCAATATCTATCTGTAAGTCTTACAGAGGATCCCTTTATAAACTTTACAATTCTTCATCCGCCAAGTGCGACCTAGCCATCCGAACCTTTAAAAACTGGGCAGAGAGAAAACTGCAGAAACTTATATGAAGATATTTTCTTCTGCCTTTGTCATCAGGTCCTTATCTAAACAGGTCTGCAAGTTACGCCTGGGTGGTGTTGCCATAACAGGTGCCCTAATTATAACACTTCGGTCGGCTGAACAAGGTATCTGAAATCTGTCTTGTTGGTCTGCCATCTCTTGATGAGTAGTGATGGTAGTGCAAAACTTTCTTCTATGAGTGCCAATCAGTGTATATTTATTTGTGTTATATTATTATCTTATCTATTATCTTTGGTCATGTGATGAGAAAAGAAGCACTGGAAAATATCGTGACGACTGGAAAGATAACTGGTAGAAGAGGCAGACCACGAGAAATGATGATGGATGGCTAAAGACAGTTGCATGGAGGAACATCATCAGCGAAAGTGATCCAGAACACCAGAGACCGAGATCTGAAAAGATGCATGAACGCCTCTGCCAGCTGGCAGGGCACTTGATGATGAAATTACACAGTGGTTGCAGTAGTCATAACAATAGTATTAGCAATGATGGTGGTTGTGGCGGTAGTGATAGCAGCAGCGGCAGACTAAGAGAAGGAGGAAAATGAGGAGGAAAACACTGTCACAGCATCCCTACCTAGAATATTGTCATGGCGAAGCAGAACCGTCTGATACAGTTCAGTCTCCCGAAACCAACTCTGCTCCTCGGTTGTGAAAAATATCTTCACGGCAACATTTTCCCCTCGCCATTTCCCTTTCCACACCTCTCCAAAACGGCCTTTCCCAATGCTCCTTACTAGTGTTATCTGTTTCGCTATCGTTCTTTGTACCTGTGGATGGAAACAAAATGAAATGGAAATGTTTAATGATGGAAATGTCGACTCAGGAAAAGACAGTAACATCAATGAATGAAGGTTATGAATAAACAAATGACTACTTTGTTTGTTTCTTTCTTGTGACTACTGCCTCTGATTATTTTTAAAGAGGTGGAAAGAGCAAAGAAAAGCCTGTATATATCAGAATTTTATTAACAACTATGTAACTTTTATTTATCAGTAAACATAATGACTATCAAACTCATGAAAAAAAATAAAAACAACAAACTTCTGTATATTATGTTTTGCAAAAAGTTGAAGGGGGGTAAACAGTTCTATGACCAGCAATCCAGAGCATTTATGTTTCCCATTACCAAGGGGGTTTTATCGAGGTGTACTGCAGTCTGGGCAGTATATGCAAGTCTGGCTTCTTTCACCTGCAGCCTTTACAGTCTGGTTTGTACTTTGGCTTTTCAGTAAGGCCGTCTGATTCCTTCTCTCCCACTAATTTGACGATTGCCGAATATGGTCAGGAAAGTGTTAAGAGAGAGAGTTGATAACAATTTTTAAATTATATAAATGTTGTAGAACAAATTGTGTAACTACATAAATGATGCTGATAATCTGAAATTCTACACATGACGCTGATAACAATTTGGAACTCCATACATGACACTGATAACATTTTGGAACTCCACATATGGCAGTGATAACAATTTGGAACTCCATATATGACAGTGATAACAATTTAGAACTCCATATATGACAGTGATAACAATCTAGAACTCCATATATGACAGTAATAACAATTTGGAACTCCAAACTCACAATAAGAGGCAAGCCTGATCCGCTGCCTGAGCTCTCATCTATCAAGTGGTGCAGGGACTGGCCTGGGGGGATAAAAGTTTCATGTTCAGAGTCCACCAACAGCTGCCTTCTCCGGAGCTCCTGTCTCTTGTATCTGAGGAGGAGATATACATCAAATAAACTCACTGGTTAATTCTACTGACTTTTCAAAATTATATTCTTTTCAAAAATGCGGACACAAACAATACATTGCACAATTTATAGCTTGGCATATTTTGCTGTATCTCATCAAGTGCATTGCTACAGCATTGCATCAACATATAATGAAGCACACATACAAATGAACAAATTTCACTGAAATACAAATGGTCTCTCTCGATACATCATGTTTGTCTTATCACCAGAAGTTCATGATATCACGTGACTGAGCAGGATAACTGTAAATTTATATGAACTCCTTCTGTTTACATAAGAGGAAGTTGTTCACTTTTACTGTTAAAGCATAGACTAGTCTCAGTATTCTCTGTTTAGTGTGTGGTAAATCACATGGAAAGCACTGTCTTTATCAATTACAAGTCCAGAAACAAGCAAATGATGTCCTCTAGGAAAAAAAAAGGCGCATTCTTTCCTCTTGATCCATCTCCACATTCCTTGTGGAACCACTCGGCTTTTTTCCAAGTTGTATCTCCATTTAACCAATGTAAGTCTAATGGCACTAACATGTAAATTGATAAGTACAACAGAATTTGGTGTATGAAAACACAAGCTCTTTAACAGGTGGGGTTGGGATGGACCTCATTACTGGAACTGTGGCAAAGAATGTTTGGCCAATAGCTGTTTTTAGTCATCCTCTCGATAAGTTAGTTGGATGATGTAGACGTAGGCAACCATCAGTCCATGGGGACCATGTTGTTGTGCCACTAGCTTTGGAAACAGCATCTGCTATAACTATAAAGTCCAATGTTGTGGTGGCAGTCTCTGCTGCCTGCTCCTTATAAAAAACATTGATACACTTTGGTTATGAAGCTCTTTTTCTTTCAGACATCTCCTCTCTATAGCTTACTGTGTCTGGCCTCTTTCTTCTTCTTCTTCTTGTTCACCGGCTGTGAATTCTGGTGGTAAGTCGCGGTTGTTCGTCCAAGATGGACTTTTGGCTTTTACCTTGACCTGAGTTTTGCGCGTACATCCGTTTTACTGGCTTATTTGTTTGCAGTACTCGTTCCCTGCCTCTCCGGCAGATGTACTCCGACTTCGGAGGAAGACGTCAAGCCTATTTCTAGGTTGACTGTGGCCATTGTTTTGTGTGGGTCGAGATGTTGCCTCATTTGTGTGGTGTCCTCTTTGACTTTTAACAGGTGTGGCCCCCGGCATGTCGTCCTTAAGGCAGCTCTATGTAGAGTTTTCAGCCCTCAAGGGAAGGCAGGGGCAGATCATAGGCATTCCCCGCCATCCAAGGAGGCTTCCATAAATGCAGAGCCGACACATGATGCTCTGGTTCTGGGCTCACCCAAGGAATCGTCACGTCCTGCCCGTGACTGCTTAACCTCACAACCGTGTATTGAGCTTCCCGCGCTACAAGGCTGCGCTCTCCAGAGATCAGCGGGGAGCAGCCCGCAGGTCTAGGACGTTTGTGGCCACACAAATAGGTACATTCTTTTTCATCTTACGTTAGACACCTTTAACGTTTTTTTAGCTGTGCCCTTAGCACGACAAAATTGGGAAGCAAAATGCGTCAGGCGTGGCTTCACCTGTTTGGTCCCAACACTCGGGCGAGTTGGACCAGTGGATACGGACATTCGGACTTTTCCCTAATCGGGACGAATTATGATCGTCGGACTCTGAGCTCGCATGTGTGCCGTGGGGTATAACTTTGTCGGACATTATTTCCAAACCAGCATATGAAAAGTTGCTGCCGTGGTGTACCTCAGCGCGGTGACGACGACACTGAGGATTGACAGAGGATGTACGTAGGTAGGATCTTGCTGCGAGAAGTCGCCCACAAGAGATGTTACTCGTCTTGGCTGCGGGTAAATCTCTCGGTCAGGGTTGAGTCTCAGCAGCACAGTTTTAAATTCCCTCCCGAATTTTAACCAAGAGTTGTCATTTGATGGTACATTTAGCAAGCAATTTTGAGTTTTGTTAGACTTTTCACCCATGCGTTTGGAGGCGGGCTGGTGAGAGCCAGAAAGGACACTACACCTCTGGGGGCCGCCAGCTCCGAGATCCCCTGCCAACTCTGTTAATGCTCATTTGAGACATTATCCGTGGCGCACGACGGGGACGTGCAACAGGAGTCTTGCATGAGGTTCCGTAAAACCAGAACAGTGAAGGACTGGCGCCCGAGTGGGGTACGGAGTATCTCCTTATACACCTCACATCAGACTTAACTTTGCCTCATGCCTGTGACCGAAATCACCGCGCCACTGGCCTCTTTCAAACTGCGAACGTCTGTCTTTCACTGTCTGCCTCGAAAGAAGTCAGTCTGCAGCTGATCTCTCCTAAGTGTCTGTGCCAATATTGATATCTTTCAGGTCATGTTTGCATAGTTGGATAAACACTTGCAGTCTGGCACTAAATATGTTGTTTCTTTCTCTCTTCCTTCAGAAACCTAAACAGTTCTTTTTATGTCTTCACAATTTAATCAGGTCAGCATCATTATCAATCTGGTGCTCATATAAACAAACAACATGCTGTGCTGTCTGTGAACTTACCTGAAGTAAATAAATGCGATGGCTACCAGAAGAACAATGAGAAAAACCGTGACTGAAACGATAGAAATCAGCAGTGCAAGTTTCGACACACTTTCAGCTCTCTGCTCACGGTCTGATGTGCCTGTGGAATGGAATAACTTTGTTCATCATTTCATAGCACATGGAGCCATGGTGGCACAGCAGGAGGTAAAGGCAATTGGTATGATGTTGACCACATCATCATCGAGTGCCGACTGGTCTAGCACAGGGGTGGACAAACTACTGCCCGCAGTCCTAAAACTGGCACGCCAAGTAATTTTTCTGGCCTGCAAAGCGGGTTTAAAATTACAATATAAGCTGGCTCTTGACTGAGCTCACAAAAACAGCAGAACGTGATTTCTGCTAATAACCGGCTTTAACAGACACATCTAGACATAGACAGAAGTCTTCAGTGGGTGAATGCGACTTGCCAGAGGCACACCAAGGGATTATAATCTTAGATTATCACACATAAATGTTGTGTTATGAAGAAAATCTGGGTGTTATGTTTATAAAGGATATTTTTTCTTTATGGCTTGTGCAAGTTGATAATTCTAAATTTGGCACGTGGACCCAAAAAATTGCATTATATGCCCAGTGAACCACTGATATGAACACTTTACTTACTTTTATTTCCCCTGACATATGTATATATTTCCATCTACGGAAGAGGTCTATTTTTAATTTTAAAAAAAAAAAGAGACAAGTCAAGGACCCTTTTCCACGTTTTTAAGCGTGGTGACCTATATTTTATAGACCAGATGGCACTTGATAGGCGATGTTGTCAACATCACGTTGGCTGCCGTTACTTTCCAGAACTTGTACCAGGTACTCACTCAATATTGGGTTGACCTGCGAACCAAAGTTATTTCTGAAAAACGCCTGGTTCCATCAGAAACTGAACCCACAACCTTCTGATCTGCAGGCAAGGGTCCAGCGGCAACACCACGGTGACTCCCTTTATATGTAATTTTATCAATTCACAGACATGTGTGTTACAAGATAACTGTCAATAAAGCAACGATGACTGGAACTGACAGGATATATCAACAGAAGAGGCAGAACAAGAAAACTGGCTTTGTGGGGACAAATTTATAGACTAGACAGGTGTACTGACATCTGAAGATTAAGAAAATGGCTAGTGGCCTGTTGCCAAAGAATTGGTGGTGTTTTATGCTATGAACTGAGTGTTGGACCTGTTGTAACTGCTGCTCTCATCGACAACAAACTGCAGTTCTAATGATTGACTGTTTGTGATAGCACCTTTGGCAGCATTTAATGCCTGTGTGTGCTCTTAGCTTTGCCGACACTGCAGTCTGTTTTAATTTTTGTTTCATAAGGGTGTAGCAAAGGGCATTCTGTGTGGTTTCCGTTGACATAGGAACTGAGTTATTTTGAGGTGAGCCATTTGATGTGAAGTTGAACTGTGATTACCTGATTACAAGGTGAGTGAAAAACAGAGAAAGGTATGCATGGAATGTATAGACATCTTGGCAGCAGGTGACTTCATAACACATCAGATGACAGAGAGGAGTGCTTCTTCTTCACGTCACCGGCTGTAAACCCCAGTGGAAACTTCTAACTGTTCGTCCACTTCTGGACTTCAGTCCTGTTCCAGAACTTGAGTTTTGCATTCATCCTGTTTTACAGATCTTGCTTTTTCAGAAAGCAGACTGTTGATTTCTCGCCTTTCGGGCAGATGCACTCAGTCTTCGAAGAAAAGTGACGACTACTGATCTGCAGTGTCTTCCTTAACACCAAGTACCCTAAGGAGACTGGTACTCAGTATTTCTGTGAGCTCAAACTGTTATGTCCGTACAGTCCTCCTCACTATATAGTATCTCTGTGTGGGTTCCAAGGCCCCCTTAAGGGGGGAAAAAAGAATAGACTCGTTGCTTTCCCAACAACCATTTCGAAAGAGTCAACTGAGTGGGGGTTTCCTTTGAAGTCAGAGCACATCTTCCTGAGAGACAAGGAACCAACAGTCTGCATACAGAAAAGTCAGATCTGTAAAATGGATGTGCGTGCATCACTCAGGTTCTGGAACAAGAATAAAGTCCAGAGATGGACAAACAACCAGAACTTTCCGCTGGAGTTTACAGCCTGTAAATATGAAGAAGAAGACTATAGTACTCACTGCTAGTATTCAACCCACATATCTCACATCATGCAAAGTTTACACAAGGGTTATAAAATTGTGCTGTGTCACATTCATATTGCTAGACATCCACCAAGGTATATTTAAATCACATATTGTGGAAACCTATGACCAATTACCATCATCCGAGAGACTAAATTCAGCTCTGAGTGAGAAGGTAGACCTAAATGAGGAGGTAAACCCAAATATCACACAATCCAGACACTTACCATCATCTGGGAGATCCAAGTCCAGCTCCGCTAAGGTCAGATTCAGATAGAGGTTGCACAACTCTCCTTCTTTACAACACTTGGTCACCCATTTATGCGGCACATTTGAAGGTGTGCACTAAAAATTGTAGATAAATAAATTACTATTAAATAAAACATAAATTTATGTTGATACAAGCAGTATTATAAATTTAACAAAACTAACAATCATACAGTAGTTACCATAACAAGTAATCTTTATTGATACATAACTTTCTTCAATGTCTAAATCAAGAAGCTCGATATTAAAAAGATTTATTGTTTCTTTTTTTTTTGGTAGAGATCCTAGCGAATCAATTAAGCCTAGTTTATGAGCAGGTCACTAATCTGGATTGAGTCACATTCCAAAACCTCACAACAGTCATCAGACTCAATATATATGATGTGACATGACACGACATATGGACAAAACAAGCTGAAGTACCAACCTGTAAAAGGATCTCTTCAACTGGTTCAAAACATCCCCAGGTCAAGGTCTCCAGTTCCTCATTCTCATCAATGGATGACAGTGACTTTGATGCATAGCAAGCTCCAGTATCTGATGTCTTACACGTCCCATTTGTGTCTGAGTTGTAGCAAGGGTGGCAGTAGCACAGCAAAGCTCTAACTTCTGTTGGCACACATTTTTAAAAGATGTTTATTCAAAAATGTTAATATCTTAATATCCAACAAGCTTAAACAAAATGACACCTAGATTCCCCTGTGTGACTTCCGGGGCCCCATTGTGGGGAAAACAAGAATAGACCCACTGCCTCCCCAAAAGCATGTCGTAAGAGTCGACTAATTGGGGAGCTTCTTTTGAAGTCGGACTGCATCTGCCGGAGAGGCAAGGAACCAACAGTCTGTATTCGAGAGAATGAGATCTGTAAAACTGATGCACACGTAACACTCAGGTTCTGGAGCAGGACTGCAGTTCAGTAGTGGACGAGCAACCAGAACTTTCCGCCAGAGTCTACAGCTGGTGAACGTGAAGAAGAAGAAGAAGAAGACACCTAGATTTTAAGTGTTACTAGAAATATTAACATTGCTGTTACTACTGTAGCTGAATTCATTTCATTCTTCTGTTTGTTTTTTTTTTTTGGCTAACCTGATTTTTCAAAAAATTATGAAAAAAATAAATAAATCAAATCTGGCTTTCTGAAAGTTTTTTGTGTTCTGTAATTTTACACTGATTTTTTTGGGGAGGCGTTCATTTGGTCTGAACAACAGATCAACATCATGGCTCAAGAGTAGTAACCCATAAGTGCTCCGTTCTACTCAAGCCTGAGTCTGAAGAATCTCAGCGCAGTGCACGAACTACACAGCACAAACGAGGATCGTAAACTACTATGGGTAGATTTTAAACTCCAAAATTTTGCACGGGCAGCGCCATTAGACAACTTTTTAATTTTTTTTATTTCTAACTACCAAGGGATTTTATTTTTTAATGTGTGCAACAATACACAGGGGAGTGCGGTCTTACTACCCAGAGATCAGGCAAAATAACTAGAAGTCAATGTGAAAAACTCCTAGCCTTCATCTGGCCTTGAGCACACAAAGCGGATGACATGCCTTGAGACCACTCAGCCCAATAATGGTGACAAGGACTGTTGAGTCATAGCAACTAAAACATAGCAGGAGGCAGGAAAAGGAGTAGAACCATGTGTCAGAGGTATCTAAATAGCCTCCATTGGTCTTGTTTCCCAAAACACAAGTGTTAGTGTTAGGACTTTTCCAGGTTTCATTTATCAGAAAATTTACCCAAATTGTAAAATTTTTAGTCATGTATTTTTATGTATGTGCTAAGTTTTTTTTAAATATGCACATCAGCATAGCCAATTTCAATAAATGTTAACAGGCCACTGAAAATCAGTGATATTCATAAAGACTGTGTTAACTTTGTCAGCTACAAGAATATATATATATAATTTTCGCCTATCCTCCAAATAACGGTCCTAAATTATAGAGGTGGAAAATATACCCTAACAGGGCCTCTGTCACGTGTCAATTGCGCACTTCCGTATTAAATTGTGCGCTTCCAGCCGCCGAGAGTATCCCCGTGCGGCGTGGATTGGGGCTAAACTAGATGGCTGGGACTCATGAGCGGCAGCTACCGCATCTCCTGCAGCTTCCTTCATTTTATTTGCTCATGAGTACTAGCCATCTAGTTTAGCCCCAATCCACGCCGCGTGAACGGCTTGGGGGATACTCTCGGCGGTGGCAGAAATTGATGGAAGTTCGCAATTCGGCGGTGGCGTTATAGTTCCTGGAAGTGCTCAAATGACAGGTGACTGAGGCCCTGTTAGGGTATATTTTCTGCCTCGATAATTTAGGACCCTTATTCGGAGAATAGCCTAATTTTCTAATATATGTATAGTGGGCTATCCTCTGAATAACAGCCACATATTATGGCAGCCAAAACAACACCCTGACAGGGTCTCATTAGGTTATGTGTTGTAAACAGTCAAAAACTCGAAAATAATAAGGGCCGAAAACAAGGGAAAATGACGAAATCAAAAACTTCCCGTTAATTGCCGCCTTTATATCTGGACATTGTGGCACAGAAGTTGCAAATAGTGCCTGAAAATCTGTTCTTTGTGACTGTGTCGCCATTGAAACTCGGCTAAATATTATCGGAACAAGGCGCGCTTAGTGCCAGGTTGGTAATGCTGTTTTCACCGCCGCGAGTATTGAGTATTCCACTCACTGCTACGCGGAGAATGGCTAAACTAATAGGCTGGGACTCACGAGCAAATAAAATGAGGAAACTGCACGATGCGGTAGCTACTGCTCGTGAGTCCCAGCCATCTAGTTTAGCCCTCGATAGAAACTCTCTACGGAGAGTTTAACTTGGCGGTTTGTTGCGTTTCGCGACATCGTTGTCGGAAATTTATTATACTTTTGCAGCGGTATATTCGCCGGAAAGAAGTCCACAATTTACGTGTGATTGAGGCCCTGTCAGGGTATTTTTTTGGGCCGCAATAATATGTGGCCGGTATTCAGAAGACAGCCGTATAATGTGTTGATTCAGTTGGCTCTCCTCCGAACTTCTATCCCCGCATTATGGCGGCCTGAAATATCTGTTTGGGGCTCAGTCCAATGAAAAATGCGGACTTTCTGCCAAGGAACAAATCGCGGCAAAACTAGGATTACTTGACAATTTCAAGAGACGCAACATTGCAGACGATAAAAGCGACCGGTGACAATGTCGAGCGTTTCTGCAGACGATACTAGCAGATGACAAAAGCGACCGTTGACAATTTCGAGACATTACAGACGATGAAAGCGATATGGTGGGTAGACAACGCGCTCCCACGCAGATTAGCAATACTGATCTTCCAATTGAGGATTTAGCAGCGGTAGATGTCGGCATCAGCAAGACGCGATTAAACTCACCGCCGAGCGTATCCCCCGTGCGGCTACACGCGATGCGGATGGGGGCTAAACTAGGGACTCACGAGCAAAGTAATTGGAGGAAGTTGCAGGAGATGCGGTAGCTGCTGCTCGTGAGTCCCAGCCATCTAGTTTAGCCCCTATCCATGCCGCTACGGTCGGCGGTGAGGCATAGTCACAGAAACAGGTCCGCAAGTAACATATCGCTGAGACCCTGTTGGAGCATATGTATCGTTTTCCCGAGCCGATCCTAGATTTGCCGCGATTTGTTAGTTGGCAGAAAGTCTGACAAGTCCGCATTTTACATATTTGTTCCTCTGCAGAAAGTCCGACAATGGACAGTGTCAACAGTCGCTATTATCGTCTGCTACTATCGTCTACAGTGTCGGTCTCTTAGAATTGTCAGGTAATCAGAAACAATAAGAAACAGGTCCGCAAGTAACATATCGCTGAGACCCTGTTAGAGCATTTGTTTCGTTATACGGAGCCGGCATATTTTTAATAGAAATGAGCCCCGAACGGATATTTCAATTTCAGGCCGCCAATAATGTGGGGGTAGAAGTTCGGAGGAGAGCCATTCAGTTAATTCAAGTGAATTATTTATTTCGGCTTTCCAGCTAGCGACCATTATTAAATTTTAAAGGAGAGCCATTTTTTTTATAATTTGTTTGTGTGTGCAAATTAAGAGAACTCAGAATCCTTTCTGAAGGCTCCGTCTTCTTGGCACTTGTCTCAAAAAAAAAAAAGCTGCGTCTTCAAAGGGTTACATCTTGCTTCTAAGTTAGCCAACTTATTCTGGATTCTCGATGCGATGTTCATCTTGTCTTCATCTTCTACTCACATCACACCATAGATAGATTAGATAGGCCAACACGTCAAAATTGAAAACAAGGGGCTTCATTGTTTACAAGTCGTATGCGATATCATCGTCCTATATGTACGCCGTAAAATATCGTGGCAGTAAAAGAAAAAGACATAAATATGCATGTCAACGTAAATGTGAAACATACAAACCTGAAGCATAAAACAATAATACGAACAATAACGTGCCCCAGACACTGTAGATTTTGCACCCTACTAGCCTGAGGTCCGCCATTTTTGTGTGTACAAAATTGATGACGTCAGCTGGGCTGTTCCATCCTTCAGTCATCACCCTGCCCAAGTGTGATATTTGGCCAAACACATGCACAAAACGGAGCCGCCGAAGTGTAGCGGCTAGACATTTGCGTGCGTATCGTAAGGTTCTAATCCGAACACAAAAGGCTTTTAAGGACCTTGACTCCCAGGTAGACCTAGTTTTAACTGAGTAACAGGTAAAGCCCTGGAAAATAAAGGCGACCGGTGTCATGTGGACCACATCACCAAGTGACGATTGGTCTATTGAGGTTTGAACAACGGATCAACATCATGGCACACGGGTAGTACCCCTTAAGTGCTCCATTCTTTTTCTTACTTAATTTAGACAATCCGAAGAAGCTCAGCACAGTGCACCGGCGATCATTTTGAAATACTTTGGGTAGATTTTTAACTCCAAATTTTGCCCGGTCAGAGCCGTTTGGCTACTCTTTTCGATTTCCAACTGCCAAGGGATTTTTTTTTACGTGCTCTCACTACCTAGATACCAGGGGGAATTACAAGCTCAAGTCCAATTGAACTAATCCCAGCCCTTAACGGGGATTCAACCCGGAAACTCCGGCACTCGAGGCGGACACCATGCCCCGAGACCACATATAGGTCCAGAACTATATGCCCAGTACGTATAAAGATGCAGAAAAGAGTCCTTTATTTATATGTTTTAAGACTCTTGGGATATCTCACTGTAGAGCTTTACAGAGTTATACTCAGAGGGATAAAAAAAATCAACCTGAACAAAAGATGAGTGGAGTCAAGAATTTACATCACAGCACTTGGGGGATTACCATGCTCGCTTTGTTCCCATTTTCAGCAGCCAGCGCAGAGTTCCAATACTGATGGTACCGGTCACAGTCTGGTTATATGTCCGTCTTATCTTTCCTCTCAGTGTAATGAGCCGGCAAGACCCTCTGATTACACCCAAGTGCCTCACTCTCTCCAGGCCAATTTAATCTTGCTTTTCTACTGATTCCGTTTCTTGTTCCCAAAGGGCATTGACCACATCTGCCCTGTCATGTATCAATTTACCACCAAATGGTGCAGATCCAGCCAATATGTCTGCCTGTTCATTACCCACTAGGCAAGCATTCCCCGGAAAAAGATCCAAAGTATGCACACTACCCGTGACCTTCCCAGTAAAGCTTGCCACTCTGCTCGAAGCATCCCTGCCTTCACCCTTTTCAGCATGCTTTCAGAGTCTGTTACAATTACGACATGTGTCTGCATTTTGTTCTGTAACCACTGGAGAGCTGCACTTACCGCCTCCACTTCCATTCTCATGCTAGATGTTGTGATGTCCACTGGCTTTCGCTACGAACCCTCAGACACTTCTCTTTCCTCTCAACACCGCACCATCTGTATAGATAATCAGATCACCTGGGCCTGAATTGTAGTGAATCAACTGTTGAACTTCCACCTCCGTAGCACCCGCTGGCCACTCTCTGCACTCCCGGCCCAATGTGATTATAACCCTACACAGGTCGGACTTTTCCTCTGGTACTCTGACCCACTCCTCTCCTCGCCCAATGTTCTTCAGCATGCATACTTGTCCTGAACAAAAGTTAAACTAGTCAGGTTTTTTGGGGAGGGGGGTGGGGCGTTGCGGCTAGATAACTTTCATCAGCATATAAAAATACTGACAATGGTACAATCCCGTAACAAGAAGTGTATTACACACAAAAGTATCGTGATTACCCCATAGGGCTGAAGGTTACATCATGGTCTGGATATTACTAGTGTCAAGTTTGTAATTTCTTTCGATGTTTAACCACGACCGGCTCCAGCTGATGGGCCGTGCTGCTGACGTCACCGGATCGGGCTAACGATGCGTTAACGCAGAGGTTCTCAAGACTGGGTGCTGAGGCATCCTGCGGTGCCGTGAGCGTATGCCAGGAGTGTCGCGGCAATAATCAAGAAAAGTCGGCTAAAAATTGTGAAATTATTAAAGAAGGCACGTAGAACCTTAAAAGTTCTCGCCACTGTCGAAGATAGTTTATTTCTTGTTTGAGAACCGCTGCGTTAACGCATCGTTAGTCCGACCCGGTGACGTCAGCAGCACGCCAGTCAGTTGGAGCCGGTCGTGGTTTAACTGAGTGACGGTGATTTGTCATTTTGGTTTCCCGCCCGGGCTGATATTGTAAGTTTTAGGGTGTCTTTTCGTCTGCCATCCGGACTTAGAATGTAAGTTTTAGGTTCCTTTTAGTCTGCCATCCTGGCTGAGACTGCAAGTTTTCGGATGTCAAATCTTCAGATGGCAACTCGGTACACACATTGCTGTGTACGATATTTGGGAAAGCACATGTTCAACACTGGTGTATGGAGCAGATACCTGTGCTATTTAGAGGACAATAGAAAATAGTATTGTCTGGAGATGTGGATATACAGAAAAAAAGATCGTATATCATGGAAACAAAACCATGTATACGTTCGCTTCGGCAATACGTTCAGCTTGGTATACGTCCTGTTTAGACACGAAAACTTTTGCTTGGACAACCTTTGTTTGGAATATGAACTGGTATGCGCTTAAACTAGTTACGACACCGAGCGTTATCTTTGTTTACCTTTGTAGAGACAAGTCTCCAGATAGATGCCAATGAATTCGCAGAGAAGTATCACACCAACGAAGCCCAAAAAAGCCTTTCCGGAAGTGACCAGACAGTCATTTCCGAAACACCCTGAGGAGAACGTAGAAGCAAAGTTCTTGGGGCAGATTCTTTTTGGTAAAAGTTAAAACTTGATGAGCCTTAACCATGTCCAAATAGTAGAGAGAGAGAGAGAGAGAGAGAGAGAGAGAGAGAGAGAGAGAGAGAGAGAGAGAGAGAGAGAGAGATTAGATAGACAGATCGATAGATAGACAGACAGACGGACAGACAGACAGAGACCAGAATTTCAGATTTTGGAGTTTTAGTTTACTCTCCTTCCAAACAATAACATCTCGTTCTCAGATAGACACGCTAGACTCTTCTAAGTGGGAAGGAGAGAGGGTGGAGTGATGTTACACTTTCATTTACTTATTTAATTGCTTTTATATTTTAGTATCCAAATCATATATTTTAATTGTATACAATCCCAATAATGTATAATATGCCATTAACAGTGTGATTTTGTTTCGTGATAACGGATTAATCATTCTAACTTTATTTCTTACGGGAAAATACGTTTAGTAAAGGTACTGCCCTCTGCTGTTAGCAGGAGCATCACAGAGCAGGGCACTCACTTGCCCTAGCAATCGAAAATGTTGCTGAAGGCTGAGGACATGGTCTAAAGCCATGTGGATGTGGAAAGCAACGGGCAACTACCACATTACTATCCCAAGAAACTAATCATGGAAAATTGAAAATCTCTATCATGAACAACAAGCAGCCATCAGAACAGCTGGTGAAACATCTGATTGGTTCGAGGTGCAAAAGGGGGTGAAGCAGGGGTGCATGCTCTCACCATTCCTATTCAATATATACGCAGAAAATAGAAATGTCAAAAATCATCAGACTTGTGACAGTTATGATCCGCTCAAAATTGGTGGCAACCCTATTCCGGAACTCCGCTACGCAGATGACACAGTCCTCCTTTCGAACAGCATAAAAGGAATAGAAAATTTAATATTGTCCGTCCAAAAGCACAGTGAAGATCAAAATCTGTTCTTGAATTTAAAAGAAAATGAAAATAATGTACACAGATAAAACTGGCTGTCACCCCCCCCCCCCAAAAATAACAATAAATGATGAAGAAATTGAAAATGTCACAAACTTTGAATATCTAGGCTCTATAATAAACAACAATGGAGACTGTTCGACAGAAATTAAAAGGAGGATGGCCATAGCAATGCAAAGATTGAACAGCCTTAAAAGTCTATGGTTAAGCACCAGCAAGGAGATAAAAATTAGAATTTTGAGAGCATGCATCTTTCCTGTGGCTACATACGGATGTGAGTCGTGGACTATCTCTCAGTCCTTAAGAAAGAGAATGGGGGGCTTTTGAGCTAAAATGCTATAGAAAGATTTCAGAATATCTTGAACAAAGAAGATTAGAAATATTGACATCTTAAAAGATCTGAACATCAAGGAAGATTGGCTAATAAACACTCTCTATCTCATGTTATGATGCAGATGTAAACACACAGGGGTACAATCAAAACACGACGATGACGTTAACATCATTTATTATAGTCTATCAGAGTCATTCCGTCGTTGTCCTAAACTGTTCCTGGTCGTTTCAACTTGCCATGGACTGACGGCCACGACGGGATTACAACCAAACAAAGAGGAAATTATCTTTTAGTATAAATAGTTCGTTTGCATGGTGATTTCACATCTAAATCACAACACAACACACTTCGCAGTCACTGGGCATCACAATTCAGAATCAGTGCTCATCGGATATTCATGGCGTCCCAAGTTCTCGTTCCCTCAGCTCACAATCACCGTTTCCTTCAGCACTCCATTCGAAACCTCTTGCCTCTCACAGGGTCAAACAACTGTCGCTTTCTCATCGTCCTTAAAAACTCTTGTTACCTTCCCACGGGATTTGGTCTTGTGACCGTTCACGTGAACCACACTCCCTCACTTTACTTGTTTCTTGAGCATTCATGGGAATTCCCCTCATTACAACCCATCTATACCAAACTAGGGTATATTTTTTGGTTCACCCCATGTCGCGGAATCCGAGAGTTCCCAGGAAAGTCCAATTATTACAGGTGTTTTATGGTGTGAAATTAGCACAACTCCAGCCCTAACCCTAAACACCACTTAATATTGGACTCTCCCTAGGATTTCTCGGACAGGGTGACTAAAAATGAATGTACCCCAAAACACTTAGCTTTGATCTACTCTATTCCAGTTAATTTCTGAACTCTCTATTCGGAATGTTCCAATTCGGCGATTAACTTGAACATTGAAGATCATAGTTATCTTCAATATCAAGTTAAAGTCTTGTCTCAAAACAATAATAAGACGAACTCAATAGGGA